CAGCTGATAGACAAACTAGCCAGGTAGGGAGACTTTCTTACTCTCTTACTGGGGGGGGGGGGGCGCATATCTGGCCAGAGCAGGGGGACTCCTGGCTAAGCCTCTGGGGAGCTGTGAGGTTCAAAGATGTCAAGACAGCACATGGAATCTCATAATGATTGGGGGATACAATCCCGTATCATTACCCCATTTTACATGCAGGGGGCTCAGACAGAGGGTGGGATGGGGGGATGCGATGTGACATAGCTAGCTGGATGCTGAGTTGAACAAAAGGCTTTTTCTTTCCTCTCCATTGCTGTTTCACATCATTATCTTATCTGAACCCCACTCCAACCCTGTCATGGAGCAGCTTGCCAGTGAGGAGACCGAGGAGCAGAGAGAGTGAAGTGGTTCAAGTCACACAGCCAGAGAGAGAGGGACAGAGCTAAGCTAAGATTCAGGGTGTTGTGTCCCGGGCTGTTGACCCCGGGCTCAGCTGCCTGCCGTGTTGGCCCTGCTATCAGGACAGTGGTCACAGCCTGCTGGCTCCCGCGCTGCAGGATGAGTTAGACATGACCTTGGTGATACAGATGGGGACATCAGCAGCGTCTCTGTAGCTCTGAGAATTCCTTCAAGACAAGAGACTGGATTGAACTCTTCAGGTAAGTCTGTTTGTTTTGTTACTGTTGCTCTGTGGACACTCAGGTTAAGCAGTGCACATCCAGGGATGATAGTCACAATATTTAACAGCTGCTGGGAAGACCGTCAGTTCTAGCTGGGGCAAGGGTTAATCCTTCAGTGTCTGGGTGGTGGAAAGTCCTGAGGGGAGGGGCGGGTCCTGGGAAGGGGCTGTGGTAACAGGAAAGACACTCAGGGAGCTTAGGGGGCAAGGCCATTTCCTAACAAGAATAGAAATATTTCAGTATTTCTCTGTGAGCCTCATCCTACGACCAGCAATCCTACTGCTGAGTGTATATATATATATATATATATATATATATATATATGCCCCTTCAACTCTTCCCCAGGCCATAAGGTGATGTGTGTGAGGATATCCATCCCAGAGTTGTTTGTGGTAGTGAGGAATTTGGGGCATTCCGGGCCCCCATCCTTGGGGAGTGGATGATGTAGATGATAATAGAGAGGAACGGACCAGATGAGCACAGAGCATCAGGGGCGGAGCTAGAAACAGCACCAGTGTGGAGGGAGACACAGAAGATTGAGATAAATGACAGGTGACCATTTGAATTATAAATGCATACATTAAAAACAACGGCACACGCAGAACAAGGACACATAGAAACGGAGGCTGTCAATAAGCATATTGGAATGGCTGCCGACGGAGGGCGAGATGACAATGCAAGTGTGAAATGGGGACTCGGAGCACAAATACCCAATGACAACAGGGGGAGGCCGTGTGTGCCAACGAGGATCCTTTGCCATAGCGAAGAGTGTAATTTAGCCTCTGCAGCCAAGGAACGAAAGGAAACAGGCAAGAAAGGTGAGCTGTTGGGCAGGTAATTGCATGCATTGGAAGAGGAAGCGGGGTGCACTCGGGAGTGACCTGCCAGGTTCTGCCAGCGGGGAGCCGGGCACTCCTCACCCGCCTCCTCCAGAAATCTCGTCTGGCTCCTGCTCACCATATCTTGCTATGGTAGAATGTTCTCCTTGTTATTAGTAAGAAGTTGTGATTTTTTTTCCCCCAAAATAAATGTTAATAGAAAATTTCTCCCGCCCCAGAGACTGACCGGGCCACGTCTACCCGTTGGAAATAACTCGGTCACGCTCTCCTCCAGCAGCCTGGGGAGTTGGACATGTAGCCTCTCTCCTGGATAGCAATGTACCCAGTGGGATGGCCACGTGTCCTGGTTTTCTCTCCACTAAGGAGGTCCGTGGGATTTCAGTTCTGAACCCGAGACAATGCCAGGAAACCCAGGAAGACGGGTTACCCTATGCATATTGCGGAGGAGGAAGAAGAAAAAAGATCGTGGGATTGTGCCTGGTGGTCTCTGCCATGGGGATCCCCTTGATTCTTCTGGATGGAAATTCTTCTGGGCCTCGAGTTGTGTCATACAAATGAAGGGTTATTCAAACAGATACAGAACTCCCATAGAAGAAGCACCCTGAGGCTGGCACATCTGGTCTTCGGTGCCTCTGAGTTGGCTTTTCTGCACCCTCCCTGCAGCCTGAAGCCTTAGTTATCCATCTACCGCCCACCTGTCCACCCATCCGTCCATCCACCTTTTATTATTAAGTCAGCCGTTGAGTATCTATCATGGGCCAGTCCCTGAGTACTGAGATGACTAACACCACGTAGTGCCTGCCCTCCAGGAGCTCACAGTTTAATGCAAAAGACTCAATCCAAGCAGGCGACAGGAGTACAGGAGCGTAACTGTAACTGGGGGTTTGTACCAAGTACAAAGGGAGCTGAGGGGGCACAGAGAGGAGACACATAACCCAGGAGCGGAGGGGGGCTTTCTAGAGGACAGTGGCTGTCAGTGGAATAGTGTTCCGAGGCAAAGGGAGCTTGTTGAGCAAAGAAGGGCTGGGTGGTTGGCAAGGGTACTGCAGGAAGAGGGAGCATCACTGTGAATGCTGGTACCCGTGAGAAGCCTGGGTGGGGGTTGGGGAACTGCATATGTTTCATGTCCTCAGATTGGCTGCTGGCTAAAGAGCAGTGAATAAGAGGCACCAGCTGAGCACATGCTAATCCTTATTACTAATACCCCTCCTCTCCACTTTCCTCCCAGGGGTGAGAGCATCTTCATTTTCACGTTGGGCTATGCCCATTTAAAAAGCAGATTCATACTTTCTTTATCTCCGGGGTGACACCCAGATGTTATCTGTCCTTTGGATTGCAGTGCAAATGAAAGGTTTGGATGGGGATAGGGAAGGAAGTTCAAGGACATGTGAGTCAAGTGGGTAAGAGAGGGAGGAAGACCTGAAATGTGGGCACATGTCCAGAGCAGGAAGAATGTGAAGACTTGGGGACAGAATGCATGCATTCCGCACCTGCTTGGGGTGTCTCCACTGACTTGGGGGTCCTCTTGCAATCATGGAGGGATGAGTACCACGTCAGATAATGATTAGCGCCTTCTAGGTTCATGCATGGCTAGTCTACTGCATCCCTTTGGGCTGGTTAACGAAGAGGGGAGGGAGGTCACAGCATGTGGTGTAAAGACATCTGGATGGGGTAGGAGGTGGGCATGTGGGAGGAATGAGGCAGACAGATCAGAACATGCCCTGTGGTGATGAAGACTGAGGTCAGATGAAAAGATTCTAGACACAGGGGGTGAGCTCATGGTGTTGTGTGTGTGTAGGAATGCACTTACCACTTTGCCTGCATCAAACCTGGTAAACCTTCAGAGGTGAGCTTTTGGGGAACAGACATGCTTTTCATGGTCCATACACTGTTTTCCTGTTTTTGTTTCACATGATCACCCTGTGAGAGAGGAACTTTTTTTTCATCCTCACCCAAGGACACTTTTTTGCATTCATCTTCAGATAGAGGGAGAGAGGGAGGAAGAGAGAGAGAGAAACATTGATGTGAGAGAGACACATCGAGTGGTTGCCGCCCACTCGACCCCAACCGGGGCCGGGGACAAACTGCAACTGAGGTATGTGCCCTCAGCAGGAACTGAATCTGGGTCTCTCTGGACCGCGGGCCGACACGCTAACCACTGAGTCACACAGGCCAGGGCAAGAGAGGGGAACTTTTCTTACAGATGAAGAAACCAGGATGGAGAGGCTAAGTGACTTTCACAGGGTTCCCCACAGGGTCCAGCGGAATGAGAATCCCAGTCTGACTCTCAAATCTGTGCCCCTTCTACACGTGCACCCCCATATGCCCACAGTGGAGACCTGTCTTTTCTGTGCCCAGATTTCACAGATGCCAAGAGCGGGCCCTCTGTGACCCCCACTGTGGGTGCCTTCCTTCCAGTTCCCACACGCCACCCAGATCCCAGGCGCAGGGACGCCGTCTGCTCTGCACTGCAGTCGCCATATTTCATTCCCGAGTAAACAATGCTGGACTTCTGGATAACCTTAGCAATTATAAATGATTAAATAGCTGACTTCTGGGAGAGACCGGAGAGCATTGTTCTCAGGTGCTGATAAAACGTAAACATATTTTTAGAATAACCTTATGATAAAGATGATGAATTGGGTATGAAAATTGCCTTCTTCAGCCACGGGCAAACAGCAGTGTAGACAGGTGTTTTGGATCCTCTTCCAGTAGAGAGGGGGCCAGCTTGGGGGAGCCGCAGAACCATGGGAGTAGGGACAGAGGGCCCCCAGACACCTGTTCCACAGCCACCTGGATGCCCACCTTGCTTCCCTGAGGCAAATGAGAGTGTTGGAATCTGAGGGACCAGGCCTGGTGAATCCCTTCTCCTTGCCCACTCCTGTTTGCTACTCTGCCCTCTCCTTTGGCCAAACCTCCCTGGAAGGAGCAGGTTCTACCTCCTTTTAGAAACCTACCAGATACTGTAAATATCGACCTCTTTTCTCTGACCCCCGCTGTGGCTTTCGGATAAAAAAACAACAAGAAATCCCAGACCCCCACTGGGTACTTCCATGAGGTCAGAGAACATGACTTTCACCTTTCCCATACTTCCTTTCGCCCCACCCCTTCCCGTGCGCCTGCACCTGGGCCTGGATCTTAACTAAGCTGGTCTTGCTCGGTGCTTGCCTGAGGCTAGTGGTCAGCCGGTGTGTGTGTGGGGGGCGGGGGGGCAGCTGGCTGCTTTCCTGATGTGGGGCGGGAACCCGGGAACACTGGGCGCCTACAGCTTGGAGCAGCTGGCTCTGAGGAATTATTGCAAGTCTGCACAATTTGAAAATCTGCAGTTTGGCAGTTTGGGGGAGGGAGGGGGAGCGCGGGGGTGGGTCCCCAGCGTCCCATTCTCCTCCTCGGGCGGTTCACCGAGCTTTCTGGCTCACTGCAGAGGGGCCGGCCGTGCCTTCTGGACCACACGCCGCCCTGCGCGCTCTGGGGTCTGTTCCTCAGCCTCGGTCTCGGGCACCTCTCGCCCTCTTCCATTAGGACGGGGACGCAACTCGGTCCCCTTCCCCTGGGTGCGTATGTCCACCACCGCTTCTGACTTGGTAAGTGGGGACCAGAGCGTGGAAAGCAATGTCGTCTGCTCCGTGCGCGAACCTTCAGGCAGCGGGTTGGTGGTAAACAGGGGCTGTTTCCTACTTCGCACTTTGTTCTGAAACAAGTTGGGGCCTCGAGACTTCTGAAGAAAATCCTGACAAATGTGCAGTGTCGCTTGGGCCATGACTTTGGAGAGGCGGTTGCCAGAGCCTGCGGCGAGGAGGAGGCGGTCTGTGTCTCGCGGGGTCCGGGGGCTCCCACCACGGAGGCCGCGCAGGTGGGAGGTGCGGGGCGCGCTCCTGCTCCCCCCCGGACGGGGCGCGTAGCCCCAGGGGTGACTGTGCATTTGGGTCTGGGCGGGGACGCGCCCCGCAGGGCCTCCTCTCTGTGTGTCCGGCCATCAGTCTGCCTGTGGGGCTGCCAGACCCCGCAGCCAGCTGACGCCCAGGGGTGAGCGCTGCGCCCTCCACCAGGGGACCCCGGCTGCCGGCCACAGCTAGGTGGTGGGCGGAGCCGAGACCCACGGGGTGGTGGCCAAGCTGCCCGCCCCGCCCCGCCCCGCCCGCGGCGCCGGGAGCCGCGCTCGAGAGGGGCGGGAAGGACAGACGGACAGTGGCGGGCCACCGGCTCTCCCGGCTGCTGCAGCGGCGGCGGGCTGCGCGGCGAGGCCTGATCCCTGCGGCGCGGGCGGGCGGCATTGCAGAGGCGCTGGACTCCTGGAGGTACCTACTTCTGCCCCAGCCTCCCGTGCGCTCCGGAGACTTGTCTCTGCCACCCTGCAACTTTCCCCACCTTTGCTGCCCGAGCACCCTCAAGCCCCCGTGGCCCAGGTCACAGGTGGGGAACCCCGGAGGTGTGCGTCCTCAGGGGACTTTCCATCCTGCTGGGCGCTCCCCTCCCCTGGTCCCCAGAGCCCGCTGTCCTGGAGCCCTAAGGATCCGCCTGTTGCTCGGGCAGCGGAGACGGTGCCCCAGTCCCTCCAAAGCCGCAGGGAGGGTGTCTGGGATCACCTCTCGGGGGTGCGGTGGGGTGGCGGGGGCGGAGGATGGACTGGAAGCGGGAGAATAGATGAGTTGGGGAAAGGTGGCACTTGGTGGAGGGGCATCTCTGGGGCGTTTCTTCGCTCCGAGAAGCCTCTCCTCTTCCTGGGGAGGAGGGGCTTTCCTGGTGAACGAAAGCGCTTCCCAGGCTGCCCGCTCCGCCTTTCCCTGCCATCCCTTCCCTCCTCTGCCCTGCAGCAGTGCCGGCGCCTCGCGACAATTGCAGGGGAAAGGGCACCCTTGTGTTGGTGCAGCGCTGTGCCCGGGGGCTGCCAGGGCGCTCTGGGTGGAAGCGGCTTGGGGCTCGCAGGCCCCGTGGAGAGTCGCCCACAGACTTTGTGTTTGGATGAGCGGTGGTGATGGGAGTGGGTGCTCCAGGTCGGAGACTCCCTCTTCCCGCCCGCGCCACCCTGGGTGGCTGCCGGACCTCTTGGGGTGAACGGGTTGAGAGTGAGCCAGGCGTTCCAGCAGGCGCCTCGCAGAGCTGGGCCGGCTATTTCGCATTGCAGGGTTCCTTCCCTGTACCCCCCCCTCCCTTCTGGTCTCTTTTGGGAAAGGAACACCTTTCGCGCCCTTGGTTTCTCCCCAACCTGGGCTGGGGAGACTGGGCATTCTAACTCCAGCACTCCATGGCGTTGGGGGAAGACCTCAAAGAACTACCTCCAACCACCAGGATGACTGGGGTGGGGTGAGTTTGGGGGGCTGGTTTGATGCTAAGAAGGGAATGCAGGGGGTGGAGAGTAGGGGTGGAGAGCTGGGGAGGTGTCCCTTGCCCTCGCAGAGAGACTTGAGGTTCCCTAACTCTTGGTGTTTGCATTTCATCCCACCTTCTGAAGAGTGCGAGGGATGAGCAAAACCAGAGCAGAAACCTTCCCAGTTCCCTTAATATATTTGCTTAAATGGTTTGCATAACCATTTGCTTAGAGCTGTATAAATTACCCCTGGTTGCCCACCTTTTTATACTACTTGCAAACACCTGCCCAGGTAAACAGGCGGCAAGCATTTTCCTAAGCACCTGCCCTCTTGCTAAAGGCAGATGCCCTAGTGCCTCTCCTGCCCATTTATTTCAGGTTGAAAAGGTGACGCTGATTCCGTGGTTGAACCTGGAGTATGGTGTAGCTCTCATTCTTAGCGGGGTTGTAAACTCCTGGACATCGATTCTTTCAGTGTGCCTTTGCCAGCAGCTCCCCTGGGCCCAGCTCTGGGCTCCGCTCTGGTGATACACTGTTGTAAGATGAGGTTTCTGTTCCCAGTCCAGTCCAGTTGTTTTTAAAGTTTCACCAGACTCCTTCCTCCTCTTGTTCTAACATTAAATTTATCTCTTCAGAACTAAGAATTATCACTATTGGGGTAGCGGGGAGAAAATAATACCAAAGTGCCTAAGAACTCTAAATCCAAGCCATGCCGTGAATATTCAAAGGAGATTTGTAGGATCTGTTTTAATACAGTCTTATGTCTGAGCCATGATGATCTGGAAAATCAGCCTGATTCTCACTCACGAGTGCAGCAAAGCCAAACTTCTGCAGGTCAAGTGTATGAGAGCGAATGGGAGGTTGGAAGCAATCCCTGTTCTGTTCAGAAATATTAAAATATTAAAAAGCCAATGCTCTGAAGTTGGGTTTGCCAGCAAAGTGCTGGCTAAGTGTTTTTCTTCTTCTTCACATTATTGTTGTTGTTATTATTACTATTAAGAAGGAAGGGGAGAGTGGGGGGCGAGTGAGGACTCCAGACACCCCTGTCCCCTGTGAAGTTCGCTCGTCACCATCACCCTTACAGACTCTGCCTCCCTCCGTTCTGGCAGAGATCCCGCTGGGCACTAGAGCTGCCATTGGGGTTGGAATTGTGTCAGCTCAGAGAGTAGGCACCACAGGATTCCCCTCTTCCTTTTGTCCAGTGGGTAACATTTATTGACTACCTACTATATGGCAGCTGCTCTGCTCAGCACTTTTCCAGGCATTATCTCATTTACTCCTCAGAACAACCCCATGAGGATGTGAGGCTGTCATTCTTTTTTTTCTTTTCTTTTTTTCGTTAATCCTCACCTGAGGATATTTTCCCATTGAGTTTTAGGTAGAGTAGGAGGGAGAGGGGGAAAGAGAGAGAAATATCGATATGAAAGAGACATATTGATTGGTTGCCTCCTGCAAAACCCTGATCAAAGCTGGGGGTCGAACCTGCAACCCTTTGGGCCTCTGGCCGAGGGTCTAAGGACTGAGCCAAACCAGCCAGGATGAGGCCTTCTTTTTTTTTTATCCTCACCTGAGGACATTTTTCCATTTTTTGTTCAGGTAGAGTGGGGGGGGGGGGAGAGGAACAGAGAGAGAGAGAGAGAGATACATCGATGATGTGAAAGGGACACATCGAGTGGCTGCCACCTGCACAGCCGACCAGGGCCGAGGACAAACTGCAACCAACGTACGTGCCCTTAGCGGGAACCGAACCCGGGTCTCTCAGGATCGCAGGCCGATGCTCTAACCGCTGAGCCAAACCGGCCAGGGCGAGGCCTTCATTCTTTATTGCGATGTTTCTGTGGGAACCAGCAGTAGATGGCGCCCCTCGAGGTGCATTCTGAGCCAGATGGGGGACCAACAGGACAGCGGTCTCACTAACAGGTGAGGCCAACCTTCTAAATGGAAAGTGAGTGTGTTTATTGCCCCTGCTTATCAGGTGTCAGGAAGTTGGAGCCTCTGGAGTGGCCCTGGTGTGAAATCTCCTATGGAGATGTGGGAGAGAACAGACGGAGACTGAAGACCTGGGTTCTAGCCTTGATTGCAACCTCTTTATGGCTTCTTGACATAAATTACTTTGCTTTTTTGAGCCTCAGTCTGTTTAGCCACAAGAATCTAGATGTGTAATATTTCTTTTTGAGATATTTTTCTTTATTGATTTTTAGAGAGAGAGGAAGGGAGACAGAAAGAGGGATAGAAACATCCATGAACGAGAACATCAGTCAGCCACCTCCTACATACCCCCCACTGGAGATCAGGCCCACAACCTGGGCAAGTGCCCTGACCAGGAATTGAACCTGCAACCTCTTGGTGCTTGGGTCGACGCTCAACCACTGAGCCAAACCGGCTGGGCTAGATGTGTCTAACATTTCTTGTTGCCCTGTTCTAGGCACTATACTAAAAGCTTTCTGTGTATTAACTCATTTCATCCTGATGGCAACCTTAGGAAGTGGGCTCTATTCTGGAATGGGCTTGTGCAAAGTCACACAACCAGGACGATGTGAGGCCAGGATTCTAACCCCTGGCCATCTGGCTGCAGAGCCACTGGGAGATTCTGCGTTCCTTGTTTATCCCTGCAGCCCCAACACTGTGCCCTGTGCTTAGTAGGCTTCAGACTGCGTTGTTGAATGGTGACAGGTAGAGGTGGCTTATGGTTACCCACTGAATTTTTGGCCTTTGAATGTGCAATAAAATATAGATGCTGATTTAGAAGAATTTTCATCCTTTATCCTTTATCTAGATCACATTTAGCAACTTTTCAACACACCCACTCCTATCCCTTATAAAAGGAGACTCTTCTTCTGAAGCTATACTTACTAGACCAGGTTGTAGTATTTTTCTTTGTGTGCAAAAGGTCTCACTCTCTTTGGATTCCTGCAGAACCTTGCACCATGGTTTGCTTGTGGTAGATACTCTATAAAATTGTGTTTATTTTATTTATCTCTGTATCTATTTATTTTTGTTAATCTTCACCCAAGGATATTTTTTCCACTGGTGTCTAGAGGGAGGAGAAGAGAGAGAAAGAGAGAGAGAGATAGACAGACAGAGAGAGACAGACACATCGATTGGTTGCCTTCCACATGTGCTCCAACTAGGATAGGGATTAAACCTGCAACCCAGGTACCTGCCCTTGACCAGGAATTGAACCCATGGCCCTTTAGTACGCGGGCCTTCGCTCTAACCACTGAGCAAACCAGGGCTTACATTGTCTTCAATTGCACAAGTGTTGAATGATAAAGG